TACCTGAAATGGTTCCCGTATAGGGTGAGCCACGCCCAGTAGAATATTTCCTACAGAGACTACTCCCCACCCAAGTGCACATGCAATGTTCACATTTAACATTTCATATTCCCATCAACATTCCAAGTAAGAATATGTAATTCTAGGTTGGAATTCTACCATGTCATGCTATGAAATGAGATGAGACTCACTCATGTAGTTTATCCCGAGTCTCCACTGACTCCCACAACATAATGCAGTGCCACCGTCATCTATGTTACACATGAAATGACAGGTTTATATAAATTTAGGGTTTTTCTTAGGGGTGGGTATTTATGGACTTACACCAACGGCACCCGATCGACACGAAATTCATGGACTACTACCAACGGTTCCGTATACACCGACACATTTTATGGGCTCTTATACCAACGGAGTGTGGATCCAATTACCAGGTCTTTCACCCGAGGGATATTCTAGCCCTTCTTACTAACCCCGACCCAATTTTCTTAAAATCATGCGACTCAGTCGAATCATCAATCCAACCTTCCCAAGTCTACTCGTCATACACCAAATGAGGTGAAGACGACAACCATGCACACACACAGCCTCAATATGCAATGTCCCTGTGCATATGCAATGTAATGTACCATCGCATGTCAATGTCATGTCTCATGAACAACTTAAATCACACATTTCATCATGTATAATGGACAATTATATCATACTCATATAACCTCCACAAAAATAACTCATCACAATGTCAATATATTGTACGCACATATTAACATTTCTTTTCAACACAATCCTTAAGTCTGTTACTAAGCATGTTACTGCGCATGTTACTAAGCATGTTACTACATAATCAAGCAATAACACACTTAACTCTCAAGGCATAAAGTAAACATTTAGTATGCCCACAAAACAGCCCCAAATTAGGCCATATAGCAGCCCCAAAATAAGCCACAAAATAGTCCGTATACAGCCCCTAATTAGTGCACAAAATAGCCCCAATTTCAGCACCAAAACAGTCCACAACATGGCCTAAAAATAGTCCAAAATTCAGCCCCTTAACAGTCCATTTGGACAACCCTTGGACAGCCCACATACAACCCAATTTCAGTCACTAAAAGCCACTTAAGGTAAGAATAAAACCAAGGTAGGAGAGAACCCTACCTCAATAGAAGTGTAAGAACTTTTATAACACCAAAACAACCTGAAAGCATTGATTTTTTCCAAAGTCTCCTCTTGGATCTTCAGTGAAATTCACTCTTTTTGGTACATACGCGTAGCCCTCGTCGAGGAGATAAACTTTGGCTCTTGGTCTGAGTTGGTCCGAGCGACGGAACTCCGGATATTGAAGAAGGAAGAATTGTTTTCTCTCTTTTATCTCCTCTTTCTCTCCAATGTGTGAACCAGCAGAATACAGAGATATCTCTGCTGAAATATTTAATATTATTTATAATTTCCAGGACATGACCCGAGTCACGCCACGTGTCCCCCACTTGCTCGGTCCGTTTTCGCCCCGAAACGATTTAATTTCGTACTAGTTTCAGCTCAAAATATTTATTTTCCAAATTCTAAAATTTTTTTAAAAAAATTTGTTTTGGGGGGTCACCGGACACCCGTCGCCTCGAAAAATGTGAAAAACTCGACTATCTCGGAATTCGGCGAAAATTGATAGGGCAGCTACATTTCGCGATGCGAATTCAACGGTGAGGTCCGTTTCATCACCCGAAGTCTAGAAAAATATCAGTTTTCAATCCGCGCTATAATGACAAATTACCATTTTGCCCATTTTTCAGAAAAAGTTAAAAAAAAATTCGGGTTTCACATTTTGCATGTGGTAACAAATTAAAATCGGAAATGAATTGTTTTGAATAAAATTATATAAAAATATATATTTGACAAAATGTAATAGTACAATATTTTGTGTAAATGTCTTGCTATACTATTATTGTTACATTATGGAGTTCGGATATTAATATAATTTGTAAACAAAACCACTTTAAAAAAAATGCATGAATCAAGATGCATTAAATATAATTTGAAAAAACAAAATCACTTTCCAAAAAAAATACACATAAATCAAGGGAGGACATACAAATATGGAACATTAAAGTTCTCCCATAAAACTAGGAGATGTTTAATGCACCACTTTGCAAAAAAATTATGCATGTATCACGGTAGGACAACAATGACACAAAAAAATCTGAAAATTTCAAATAACGTATTTGGACACAAATAAGTATCAAAATTAAGAATTTTTTTGCTCTACATTTTTTTCTATGTACTTTTTTTTACAATTAACTCTAATTTGATGTACCTCTTTCCAATTTCCCTTTGTTTGTTTCGAGTTAGGTTCAGGGTGGCTGGCCGAAGTTGCACACCTAGTCAAGGGCCCTCTTATCATTTTCTATCCTATGCCAACCTTGATTAATTTTATACCACATATCATATAGGATTGATTTGCACCATGTATTTGATGTTATTCAACATTATAACATTGGTGATACATTTCTCACATTTGCAAGAATATAGATAAAGAACAAGAGAGTACCAAGCCAACCTGTTGACACCCTTCCACATTTCCTTTTCATATTATGCCTAAACAAATATGAGAGTGACAGAGATGGAAGAGTCAAAACTAGCTCTAGGCATCTATTCTCATTGTATACCAAAGTAAGGAGAGGAAAAACATTGTGGAGTATGTAGCGGTAGTTTCTCGATGTGAAAATACTAGCTTGACATTATCATTTTTAGTGAGGAACCTTATTTTCTCGTACTTTAAAAAAGCTTTGTGCATATGAGATTTAGCATCTTAGACCTCGGATTATAGGGTTTCTAGAGTTTTAGTCTCATCAAGAAAAGTTGAATGCAAGAATTGTGGTGAATTTAGGGAAAATGATACTTTGTACCCTGAAAGATCTACGCATTCTCAATTTACACATTGAATAATTAAAATTCTTACATTGTACCGTCAATCAAGAAAAAGTGTAGCAATTTGCTCCATTTTAAGATAATTGAGTCCCAAATTTCTATAGAAAACACTTACACTTGAGTATTATACAAACAATTGTGTGTAAAAAAAAGATAATATGACAAATACAACAACAGAAATCATTCGAAAAGGCAACGAATATTTATTATTAGACTAAATTGCTATTTGATTTAGGGTGTAATGTGAAAATTTTAATCTTTCAAGGTGAAAATAAAAAAAATTAAGAATCTTTTAGAATGTAAAGTGTCATTTATTTGTGAATTTATGAAGTCCAACTACACCTACTGAATATTGAATCCCTGTGTTCTTAAATTTAATTTAAATTGTTGTTTGACTGGGTTTTTTCTGCTAAAATTGTGTTGAAATTTCAGGCACTAGATGATTGTTGTGTCTTGTTTGAAGCTTCACCAATTGAATGCATGTAGGACGACATTTTCATTATGGACAATTTTTTAAGTTGAGTCGACATTGATGGAAATTACTCTCAGTTATAGCAGGCAACCAAACCATGACTTCCTCAGATTTCGAACCATAGTTCATGTATGAAAGAGGTATACCTGTTTTAATTCAAACCCATGAAATAAAATCTTCTAATTTTTTGAATTTCAAAATACATTCCAATCGATTGAAGGATTGGTCAAACGATTCATGAACCTTACGCCTTAATATTTATAGCTATCAAGTTATTCTTCAATCGATCAAAGGTTGTGATCAATACCTACAGGACCCTTCTGCAATAGAATTTCTATTCAAGAATGATCTTCAATCGATTAAAGGATAGATCGATAAAGCCACCTTTCACTTGAGGCTTTTCAACCCTTGTTCTACGCATCTCCTTCACTCTTAAGCTTCTAATAAAGTCCTTCATGTCAGTGGCGGAGCCACACTGGGAGCAATGGGGACAGTTGCCCTAGTGCAACTTTCTGGTGTCCTTAAAATTGTTTAAAACATGCCTCCGTTGAAATGTTTGTAAGAAATTTAGGAACAGTTCTGTATTTTAAAAAGAAAATAACATGCATTCTTTCATCAACTAAAAAAAAAATTAAGAATTTTAAGTTGTTTCGATTAATTGGACTTGGACAATTTGTTTGTGGTACTTTAAATTGTTAAATCTAGGTTTTGTTTTAATAGCCTTGGAACTTATTGAATCTTTCTTAGAAGTTGTTTGGATCAATGATAAATTATTGAATTAAACACCTTTTTTAATTTGTTAGGTGTTGTGGTGGATAATTTTACAATGTTTTTTTTTTGTAAATAAACTAATTTTTTAAAAATAATATTATAATATAACTCAAACATATTCAAGTGGATACTCTTCCATATAGTCTAATTAACGAAAAATAGTCGGACACACCGTAGTCTATTACAAATATTAAAAATTCTCTCAAAACCCCAATGAGACCGTAAATGTGATGCATGATCGGTGTTCTTCCAATGAATAATGTATTTATAAAAAAGTATTAAAAATTAATATTGATGTAAAAATAATATCATAATTTTAATTTTAGTTTGTTAATAAATTTTAGGTTGACCCACCGTAAAAATATCTTAGCTCCGCCCATGCGCCACATGGTATGGATCTTAAAATGACACTACTTGCTTGCATGTTTACCTAATCAAATTTATGCATAACACATCTAATGATGTAGTTCTGCCACTAAGCATTATGGTCGTTGCTATAGATAAGATATATGGAGAATATGTTGCTTGTTATCTTGATGAAAGTTGGGAAAACACTATGCATGGCTGGCCAACTAATTTTTTTTGGGTCAATCCCCACGTATTCCCCACCCCTCCAAGGGGCCAATTTTCCTTTATCTTTCCATTGCTATGCCCATTAATACTTGCATATTATGATATGGTTCTTTGTGAAAAACTTGGCAATCATCTCGAGTTATAGAACTATGACTGTGCTTTCCTTTTTGTTCCTTTTCTTTTATTTCCCCTTACCGTCCTTTCCTTTCGATCACTTACTACTTTTGAAGTCCCATCAGGAGATTCTGAGGCCTACGCTTTCGACATGGATGGTGGAGGACCCTACACTGGAGTGAATAATGGTAGGGTTGTCAAGTATGAAGAACGTATCAATGGTTTTGTCGACTTTGCCTATGCCTCTTCAAATGGGTAATGCATTACTTGGGTAACACATAATGGCCCATTTGATAAGTTTTACGGATTAGGCTGGGGTTGTTTTAGGTAGACCAATTCAAAATCTATGTAATTACGTTTTCAAAATATGTTTGGATAGCAATATAATATATATACTTTTACATTTTTGGATAGAAATATAAGAATGTTTGACCCCAACGATGTAACAGTAAGTCAAATGGTTTTTTTTTCCTTTTGATAATTTGGACACTTTTTGATACCATTTCCCGCTATTTAAATTGGACCGGGAAAAAGCTTGATTGTTTAAATTGGACCTCCAATTTATGTTTTCTCCAATCACACCCATTAACCCACACTTTTCCTATGAACCAAACTGCCTCGATAGACCTTCGCTTATAGGTATATTGGCCTGAAACAACTCAGTCTACTAGTCATTTGTTGAAAACTTATTCTTCAAACTTCAATCTTGTTTCATATATGTTTGTCCTCTTGTTTGTTTTTTCAGAACTAAGGAATTGTGTGATGGCACCAACGACCCTGATTTGCTCGCTATTTGTGGAAGGACTTTCGATTTAGAGATGTACCATCGAACCAACGAGCTATGCATGATGGACGCTTACTATGGGCTCTGTGTGCTTAGACCTGAAGGTGGACTTGCAAAATAACTTGCGACTGGTTCCGAAGGGGAGTCCTTCAAATTTTCTAATGCTTTGGACATTGGCCAACTACCCGGAGACATTTACTTTGCAGATTCAAGCTCCATCAATAATCTAAAGTACGTACAGTTCATGTCTTTTCCATGGTTGTTGTCTTTTGTAGGCACTTAGATTCATAACTCGTTAACAGTAGCAATGTTCATCTTTTAGACATGTCCCAGAACAACCAGCTAATCTAGACACAACAGCGAGATTCTTAAAATATGATTACAAGACAGGAATGGTAGCAGTGTTGCTTAAGAACCTTTCACTTGCTGGTGGGGTGGCAATTAGTGAAGATCTCTCCTTCATCCTTGTTTCAGAATTTATGGGTAATAAAATTTGGAAGTACTTGTTGAAAGGTCCAAAAGCAAATACTTCAGAAATTTTGTTAGACATCCAACACCCGGGCAACATAAAGAGAGCTCCATCAGGAGATTTTTGGGTGGCAGTGAATTTTCAGACACCAAACCCAGTGCCTGCAGGAATAAAGATCAATGAAAATGACACCATATTGGATATGGTGAGCATTGGAACACCATTTAATGGCGTAGATATCAGTGAAGTTAATGAGTTTGGTGGCCTTTTGTTTGTAGTGTTTCCCTTTGCAAGTTTGGGTGCAGTGTACAAGGCTCGAGAGGAATGAACAACCCATTAACTAAGTGGTGGAAAGTTCTCAATAAATGTAAGAGTCATCTCTTAAATTATCCACTCGTGTTGGATTCAGGCATCTGATTTTAAATAAAAATGAGCAATGCTACATGAATTTAAAAATTAAACTTAAAAAATATATTTGATAATTATAACTATTGATTTCACTATGAGTTGAAGCATTTATAAAAATCCATTATTTATTCAATAGTTGTGATTATCAAGTCTATTTTTTAAATCTACTTTTAAGTCCATGTAATATAACTCACTAAAAATTGTCTTACTTATTCTAGGGCACAAGTGCTTTGTTTTTGGGTGGTTTGCCTTGTGATGTCATGTCATTTTGTTTTTTGAGTAAACAAACAAGTTGTAGTCATGAAATTTGTATTAATGTATATTCTAAGGGAAGAACCCTTACAAGGGCAAACAAAAACTAAGCCAAGAGGCCATCCCTTATACAAAAAATGGCCTATAATCTGGTAGGGTACTATGTGTGCACTTGCATATGTTCCCCACATAAAATGATTTCAGCAGCATTTATCTCAATAAATAGTACAATTATAAAGTGTTCTCTATAAACTATTGGTTTAGAAAATTAAAAGTAGTGGATGATTCATATTTAGTAGGCCCAAAGTCCAATACCAATGGGAAGAGCAACGAGGTTGAAATAGCAATATAGCAGAGCATAGTAGGGCCCACAGAGTCTTTCTAAAAGAGTCTATTGAGGAACAATCATTACATTTCTTTATGCTTTAAGAGCAAGCCTAAAGAAATTGTTCATTTTAGTTAATAAAACAATCAATGATAAAATGGGATACCAAGCATTTTCAATTCAAGCCCTTCAAAATATGTCTTTATTGATAATTGAGATAGAATTAAAAATAGATAAAAATAAACAGTGTGCAATGGGAATTTCCGATATCTATTATTGTTTGCTAGTATCAAATAATTGGTTGGCTGAGTGCGGATGACTTCGGTACAGAATTCGTATATTAGAAAATGTCAATATATTTCTGATGTATGAGTTTTACTATGATTGATATCACGCCCTGAATTCCACAAAAGTGTGATTTAAATAAAACATCATTTTTATCCAAAAAGCTTGTCAATTTAAATGAGATTGATTACAAAAATTCATTTAATTTTAATAAACACATTTTTTTTGTTGAAAATCTAGTGTGGTTTTGTTTCAAAGTCTGACATTCCAAACATAGGCAAGAACGACCTGTTATAGTATTATATATAACAAACTAAATCTGACTAACTATCTCCATCATACCGATCATAAACAACTAACTAGGATCCACATCATTCATTCATCACAACATAATCTAATATAATGTTGGGTGGCAAATGAAGACCCACGAAATCCTCTCAAACCTGGTATTCTTGCATAAGTTTTATCTACCAAAACTTAACTCTAAAGCCATAACTTTATATTACAGTACCCAAGAGAATAACCTCTCATGAGGTAATTAAATTTACATCACAAGCTCCTCAAAAAACCCTTCAAATAAAACTTTGTGTGTAATCATATTTCTACACAACATTCTAAAAGTAAATACTAAAAAGTTTTCAAAATGAGTCCCTCCGAGCCCAAAGCTCCGACAAGTCTACATCAACTAAGTCTCGGGATGCATGTTAGTCTCTGAAAAATCTAGTAAGGGATGAGTAGGGGTGTCCATGGGCCGGGTTACCCACGGGTCCCGTTACCCGGGCAAAAAAAAAGAGGCTCAAAACCCAATAGGCCCGATAGTTGGGCCATCCGAGCTTGTGTCCAATATCCTTAAAAAAAGGGTTTGGGTTTTCCCCCAAACCCATTACACGGCCCGAGGCCCCGCCCAATGGCCCACCAGAAAAAATTCATTAAAACCTGGCACAAGAGCCCACCCACTCTTCCTTTGAAAAAAAGTTATATTTTTAGACTATTAAGTTTGAATATTTGAAATTAGTCTCTCAATGTCAGAATTTGAAGTTTTAAAAATTTAGATACTATAAATAATCTATTATTTTCTTTTTCGTATATTAAGCATACATGTTTTAAAGGATAGAATAATGGAAATGACAGATAAGTGAGTAGGTGTCAATCTAGTTGGAACGTATTCATTCTATTAGATGTAGTTCATCCCCTAATCAAAAATAAAATTATTTCTTATTTTATATTTATCCATTTTGACTCTACTTTTGATTCAAAAATATAATTTACACAAATATTAAGTTACACAAATATTCATTCTTTTTAAATGAAGTTGTATATAAAAAGCCCGCGAGTAAGCCCGCCCAGCAAGCCCACAGCCTGCCCAATAGGTTCACAGGTTGGGCTATGGGTAGGCTACCCCTATCTGAAGCCTAGCTTTGCCCGCCCGATACCTCACTTAGGTAAAACCTTGGGCCCACACTACCCAGGTCTGGTCGAAAAAACAATTTGGTGGGCTAGACACCCCTAGAGATGAGCAACCACAGCCTAGTAAGATAATCCTTTTCCCAATCATATAAAAGGCTTTAAATGCCACCAATTCACAATCATAATAGTAGGTAGTGACATAAGTCATCCTTAAGTTTAGGTACACAATAATTAATAAATATTTTCGAAAGTATACTATGTACTATCACTTGAAATATGTAAGTGTAGCAATGAATTTGTCACATCAAAATCAAATCTCAATGTTACACTATAAAACATTTCTTCTTAAATTATAATGTAACAATATTGATTTTATAAAGCACAGAGTGACAAATCTGTATACAACCATATGGATAATAAATCTGGTATAGTCATTATTTCTTATTTTGAACAAAATTTCATAAACTTAACTTTACGTACTTTTACCTCAATCTCACTTCACCTCACCCCACTCAAGAAGTTTGTTGGAATATTGACCTAATGGTTTCTTAACATCCAAAATCCATGTATACTAACCATTCGCACAAATATCATGAATGAACAATCTCCAACGAACCTTTTGGGTCTTGTACCTTAAGGTCTTGTCACCCTTCTTCCTTTCAAGGTTGGATGTGTAGGGCTCAACTTGTGATGCCACACAGGCCATCATCGGAAATCACTACCATAATTAATCCCCCCTTGGACTTGTAGTCACCTTGGCAACACCCCTCAAAAGCCCCAACAGTCTACTAACCCTCTGTTTTTTGGTATCGAACGTACAAGTTTCAAACCATAGTTTTGTGATCACCTTCCTTTCCCAAAAATGTAAACCCCCACACTTTTATCATTATATAGCAAGTAATTATTTTTGAAATGCTAATATAGGTGATGAGGTATGCATGAACCCTATAGATTTCAATAGTATGAATAAATACTAGAGAGACAAATTAATGGTAAAATTTAATTTTTGGAGGTGTTTAAGGTTGATAAGGATAACTAAGTAAAAATATAAATTTTTTTAGGTCAAAATAATATTATCATTGAACCTGGGAGATCTGAAAAATCTGGAATAGCATTTTAGCACATATAGCGGTTTGGAGGAATAAAATAATAATTTTTGTGTTTCGAGTGTAAATTTATTTTAGTTTTGAGATAACTCATAAAAATAAATATTTTTAGGTTAAAATAAAATTAAAAATAAATCCAGAACGTCGAAAAACCTTAGGGTAGTTATATGGATCAAATTGAAGATTCTCAGTGGCAAAATCGTAATTTTGGAGAAAACCAAATCAGCCTATGGACAGGAAAAATCGGGGCTGCTATGTTTAAAAACCCATTTACTCCCATTCTTTTCACTCCACTCTCACCCCACACCTCTTGGAACCTTAGAGGAAGATTAAGGAAGTAAGAAAAGGGAAGAAGAAGATCACTAGAGCTTGAGTTCTTACTTGGAAATTTGATTCAAATAGGGGTTTTCTTCCATTCTTTTACATTGAGGCTAGAGTTATACATATATATTTTCTTTGTCTCTACATCATATTAATATGCTATGAAATCATGGATTCTTGATGTTTTTACAAATATTAGCATGTTTTAAACAATGGGATGGTTGGGTAACCATCAAAGTTCTTTTCTCATATTCAAAACCCTAGATTTCAAGAGAAGTGGAGTTTTCTCTTGATTTCTCCTTTATTCTTGATTTCAAAACTTTAGTGTTTCATATTGAACAACACAATGGTATTTATGATTGATCTCTTGTTAATTTTTCTTAAATTGTTCCATTGTGAAATAAATGTGAATTTGGATGTGAAAAATTGAGGATTTATGAAATTGTGTATTTGAGAAATTGTTGGTGATTGTATCTCATGAAGGTATTTGGATGACCATGGGTGGCCATTGATCGGGTATCGTAGAATGGGTAGATGTGTGTGGTTCTTACTCCGTGTAGATTTAAACTTTTCCGATCACTCGTAGTGGGGTTGGTGTCTTGCGAATACCAAATCACTATTAGCTTACGGGTGTCGTATCAGAGGATTAGTATACTATGTCTGGGTCAGATTCGTTATTGCCGGTGAATTGGTATGGGACAATGCATCTGTAGACGCCCTTCCTGAAGTTGATATCTTTGCGAGGAATTGTGTATGTGGGTCAGGATATTCTCTATGTGTTTATTCATGCGATTATCTTACATCAGACTTGAGACACATTTTGGTTATTGTTTATTGTGTTATCTTTTGAGATATGATTATCTTGAAAATTGTTGTGGGAATAATTACTCTTTGGATTGGTTATTTATGGTGGGATTGACTTTACTCTTGCACTTAATTATTGTTAATGTATAAACTTGAGATCTTTGAAAATGTCATATTTTCTTTCAAAATTTACATATGCTATTTGTGAAATAAGACCGACCATTTTCTATATTTTTCAAACCTTGTTAGAGTTTGGGAGAATTTTCCTACAATGCTTAGTGCTCAACCCCCTACCAATAACGTTTTTTTTCAGATTTCGTCCCGACGTTGACGAGCCGGGAAATTGGGAGGTTCCACCAGAGGGGGAACCTAGATCCCAAGGTGGACATCTAGAACTATAGTTTATTTTTGTGCTAGACT